TTTTTCATCCCTTAATCTCAATTAGGAGGGGAGAGGTGAATTTTTAATTACCGGGAGTCACTGTACCCCGCGAAACTATTATCATTCTCACTGGCCCCTGACTTTCTTGGCAGTTTATATTTTTTTGTTACAGAGATTAAGGGATGAAAGAGGGTTAATTAATGGAGAAGAAATTTTTTCTCTTTTCATCCCTTAATCTCAATTAGGAGGGGAGAGCTGAATTTTTAATTACCGGGAGTCACTGTGCGCCGCGAAACTATTATTTTTCTCACTGGCCCATGACTTTCATGGCAGTTTATATTTTTTTGTTACAGAGATTAAGGGATGAAAGAGGGTTAATTAATGGAGAAGAAATTTTTTCTCTTTTCATCCCTTAATCTCAATTAGGAGGGGAGAGCTGAATTTTTAATTACCGGGAGTCACTGTGCGCCGCGAAACTATTATTTTTCTCACTGGCCCATGACTTTCATGGCAGTTTATATTTTTTTGTTACAGAGATTAAGAGATTTTTTTTTTTTTAACGGCCTCGAGGTCCCTTTTTCGGGTCCCATTCGGCACTCTATCCAACCCTATGCATGCGGCTGTGGATTCTACACTGTACCGCATTCGCATAGAACATAGAAGTAGCATAGGGAAACCACAGAAAACCCATGCCGGTACAGGCGGTTCCTCTATTAGCAACCTTCCGCTCGCCGGAGCCTTCCGTTGAAAAATTCGCTTCCACGGGGAATTCAACTCACAACCTATCGCACACTAGACTTGCGTCTAATCCACTCGGCCACCGACGTCGGTAGATTAAGAGATGAAAGAGGGTAAATTGATGGGGAATTTAATTCTCCGTCGAACTGCCATTTTTTCTTCCCTCAATCTCAATTAGGAGGGGAGAGGTGAATTTTTAATTACCGGGAGTCACTGTGCGCCGCGAAACTATTATTTTTCTCACTGGCCCATGACTTTCATGGCAGTTTATATTTTTTTGTTACAGAGATTAAGGGATGAAAGAGGGTTAATTGATGGGGAATTTAATTCTCCGTCGAACTGCCGTTTTTTCATCCCTTAATCTCAATTAGGAGGGGAGAGGTGAATTTTTAATTACCGGGAGTCACTGTGCGCCGCGAAACTATTATTTTTCTCACTGGCCCATGACTTTCATGGCAGTTTATATTTTTTTGTTACAGAGATTAAGGGATGAAAGAGGGTTAATTGATGGGGAATTTAATTCTCCGTTGAAATGCCCTTTTTTCATCCCTTCATCTCTATTAGGCGGGGAGAGGTGAATTTTTAATTCACGGGCGAATGGTGAAAAGTCAGTGT